GTACACCAGTAGGAAAAACAACAGCAGAATAGCTATTTCCTTGATCCACAGCCAGGGTTTACCTAACAGGTTTCCGAACCATGAAGAATTGTCATCAGTCATCTGGTGTAATTTTGCTGAAAGATCAAGAATGTCAATCTTGATCATGTTGATGGATGACTGAAGTTCCCGTATGTGATTCTCTGCGTTGTGTATTTAATTTTTTTCCATGACAGTTGGCTTGGTAGGTGTTTGAACAAAAAAAGAGGTTCAACATGAGTTTTTGTTCACGTTGAGAACATTGCGAGAACAAGTGACATTTTGTTGAAGAATGGTTTTTATAGCATTTGACAAGTGTGACATTTCAAGTAATTTACCATCCTAAGCTGTAGACGCTCTCTCTCCATCATAGTGATCTTTGCAGTCAGGTTGAGGAAAATAAATAGAATGTTAAACAAATCAAACTCATTAACAAGGCCTAAGCGGTTTCCTAGGTAAAATCATGTCTGCTGGCATCCCATAGCTAAGAATTCAAAGACACTCAGTATCACCAAATTCATTTGTCAAGACATTTCACACCAAACGATTGAAGTGCCATGAAGAATCAACATCAACAAACGGCTAAAGCATGATGTGTAATGTGTAACCTTGAGCAAAAACACAGCAACCCACAACGCAATGACAACAAGCTTTATACAAAGTCTTTGAAATAAGCGCACGCCACATAGAGGACATTAATCCTTTAAAGTGAGGTGTTACACACTTGCCACACACAATATGCCTCTATACCTCATGTAATGAATGGCTCTTTGCTCCAATGGATCAAAGCGCAGACCACTGAGCTATTGTGGATGGCCACTATTGAGAATATTCATTTGTCTGTGTGCTTGTCAGTGCTGAGGGGAGTCTCAGTGGCTGAATACATCAGACTGGCACATTGCTTGGCCCAGCACTCAGTGTGAACAATGACTCCATCTGGACCAGCGACTCGGGATGTGCCAATACGAGAGCACTCAATTGATTTTCTCCCATTCGGGGACCAGGGGTCACATTTAACAAGCTTTCAAGGGTTGACTGAGGTAGAAGGTGTTTGTGTGTATGTGTGTTGCCTGGGAAATGTGTCAGGAACAAGATTTAGAAACCATAATGATGTCCTTGGTGCACTTCTGGTCAAGGTTTGGTATTGGACCTCCTCATTAGTCAGAGACCAGGCTTACTAACCCAAGACCTGAGATTGGGTGTAGAACAATTATCATTAGCTAGAGCATTGGGTTTAAAGGGAAAGTTAACCCAAAAATTTAAAATTGTGTCATTTACTCTAATGTTGTTCCAAACCTGTATGGCTTGCTTTCGTCTGGAGAACACAAAAGGAGATATTTTGAGTGGTTTTGGTCCATACACTGAAAGTCAATGGAATCCAAAACAATCTTTCTTTATATGGACAAAAACATTTCTCAAAATATCTCGCTACACAAAAGAAAGTCATACAAGTTTGAAACAACACAAGGGTGTGTAAATTGTCATTGAGTTGGCCAAAATTGTTGGTACCATTTGCTAGCACTTATTAGCGCGAGGCAGGATCCAGCATCCTTGCCTCAAAACCAAATACTGATCCAAACTGGATATAAAAGCAGGGATAAGATGCTTCAGTGCCAGACTTTGACAAGCTGTAGCCCGGCACAAGCCCAGTCGTCTTATTTGACATGGCAAGTGCCAATGAAAGGGTGCCCAAATTATGTCATAGTTCTTTTAAAAAAATGAAATCAACAAAATTGTGGAATACTAAAACAAAGGGTGGTTCTTCACTGTAAGAAATACTGCAAAAAGTGGACTTTTAGCTTGCCTTTGGGCACTACCCACAAAGGTACACTGTTGCAACTTATTTACCCTTAAAGTGTGTATATTAGTACATTAAGAGGAAGGTAAACCAAAGATGTGCCCTCAAGTGTTATAAGTTAAAGCAGGGGTGTCCACTCCTGCTCCTACAGGGCCACCTTCATGTATCTTCTTACTCTAATCCTAATTAAACCACCTGAAGCTAATCAAGGACTTCAGGATCGCTGGAAACTCACAGGCATGTATGGTGGAGCTAAATTTTGCAAGATGGTGTCCCTCCAGGAGCAAAGTTGGACACCCTAGAGCAGTGATGGGCAAACTTTGCCCCTTTGATTTTAGGTGTAAGTTTAGGTTAGGCATAGGGTTTGGCCTGTGATTATTTGATAAGAATCTTGTCTCAAGACCAAGGATATTGAACCAGGAACATTCCTGCTTGGCTTAATCACATCACAAGAACACCTGAATTACTATCCTGAGACCTGGAATGATCTGTCCTTAACCTCTGAAGTAGAGCTGAGGATACATTCAATCCTCCCCCAGATCCCAGTCTTTTTCAATCCATAACAATAGCCTTCAGCTGGTCCTTATGCGAACGGCATCTGACTGGGCTTTAGGAGATAAGCTCTCCAGGATGAGGTCTTTATCTAGGCTAGCTGCCCACAAGGGTGGGAGGAGAGTTCAAAGGTCAGATGTCAGTAAATTAATAGATGGTATAAGTTGCCAGTCCTCACCGTAATGAAATCCAGATGACACGTCGCTTGAGTGCCGGTAACACAATAATGACAGTAGCTTTTGCGAATGCTATTGATTTTTTCCACCCTTCGGTGCACACCTGGGCCCCCTTTTCACTGCTCGGCTTTTGTCTGAGCTTGCGGCTAAGAAATGCCTCTCTTTGTAAGGCCTAATTATTCCATGACTAGTAAGAGCCTAATTACCAGAGGAATTAGTGCGGCGCTCATTGTGAGGAAGACGTCGTAGGGCTTTTGAGGTATTGACACAGTAGATGAGATCCTCCTTTCAGCTGTTTAAATTTTGACCGATCTCTGGTTACAGTCTAGCAGACACACCTGTCGAAACGGCTTTCCCTCCAAGACTGAGTGTGCGCCTGTTTGTGGAATGTCTGAGCGAGATTAATGTGTCTGTCTCTGACAATGTGATACGAGGCGCTCGAGACGCACATGTGGACATGCCTGGATGTGTGTCAGAGCAGCTGGGAACAATCGGAACAAGTAGCCAACACAGAAGCCACTAGCATTGGATGCCATCCACTTTAGGATCATACGTTTTTGGGCTTGATTGAGATTGGTGTGGTTTGAGTGTGAAATTATTCCTGGCTCTGCTCTGATCGCAGGTGTCTTTTTCAGTGAGCGCATCTGATAGATTATTATGTGCTGCCAAATATGCACACATGCACAATAGTGAGGCATAACCTAAATTGTGATAGACATCTCGAAGCACACCAAAATGTTATTGCATTAAAAGAAATGCCAAAAATGTGCTTGCAAACAACCCTTAATTTCCCCCCGTTTTATCTCACCATCTTCCGTACCGAAGATGGAGGGACGAGGACTGATCTGAACCACCTTCCCCACCCGTCACACCAGTAATCATTCTCCGCCGTTTCATTTGGCAGTGTAATGAAAGCAATCCCAGAACGCTTCGCTTCGGCAGAACAGAGATAATGAGGAAACACACACACATGAACACACAAACATCCCTGCATGATTTAGGAAGACGGTCTTTGGTGGGCCACAATGGGAAAAGCAAAAAGTTCACAATCGTGCTTAACATTCAGTCTTTGCAATCTTTTTGTGCATGGCACATGCTCCCAGGATACAAAAAAAAAACCATTAACGCATCTTTCTGTCAATCTCAACACCATCTTTTTTGTCTCTTGATAATAAACAATGTGAAGCTATTAAAGTAATATGCATGGCAAGCTACAGCAATTAAATTGACTACTGGTGCTTGCTACAATATCAGTGTCGTAGCTCATACACTAAGGTTTAAGTATTTACGTAATCTGTGGTTACTACCGGACGGTTACTTTAAAGGGTTAGTTCACCCAAAAATGAAATTTCTGTCATTGGTTACTCACCCTGATGTCATTCCAAATGAGCAAGACCTTTGTTCATCTTCAGAACAATTAAGATATTTTTGATGAAATCCGAGAGCTTTCTGACCCTGCATAGACAGCAATGCAACTGACACGTTGAAGGCCCAGAAAGGTAGTAAGGACATTGTTAATACAGTCCATGTGGCATCAGTGGTTCAACCGTAATGTTGTGAAGCTACGAGAATACTTTTTGTGCACAAAGAAAACTATTTCTTCTCTATCATGTCAGTCTTCAACGCACGTTCACGAGAGTACCATGCATGCGTTTGGTGCTGCTGATGCAGGAGCCGGCATTCTGACAGAACCCAGAGGCTTTGCGGCTTGTTTGCAAGCAGACGAATGCACACACATGCGTCGTGGTGTTCTCGTGAACGTGCATCAAAGACTGACATGGAAGATATTGTTGAATTAAGTCAACAATTCAAACAAAAATAACGACTTAATTCAACAATATCTTATCTTCCACGTCAGTCTTTGATGCACGTTCAAGAGAACACCACGACGCATGTGTGTGCATTCATCTGCTTGCAAACAAGCCGCAAAGCATCCACCTAGAACTCCCCAACAAGCACCCAACTACCCAGAATTTCCTCAAATCCACCTAGAACACACTAACAACTATTTAGAACATTGCAGGAACCACCTAGGACCCCATAGCAAACACCCAACTACCTAGAACACTCTAGTGGGCACTAAGAACATCCTAGCAATAACTTAGAACTTAGCAACAGCCCAACGACCCAGAATTCCCAAGTGGCCACAGAGAACACCCTAACAACCACCTAGAACATTCTCGCATAAAGCTTGCCACAGCGCACCGGCAGAAGTAATGATTTTGAATGCATCAGGGAAAAAAAACAGCAAGAAGACTCTCTTAACATTATAATAATTCATTGGTAAGTGTTTTCTGAATTTCGGGCTACAGTGATGAAGTCGACGACACTGTCATCTCCACAGTGGACGTTCACATTTCATACGGATAACATAATCTGAAAATATTTGTTTTCCATTTGAATTGGTTCATTTAAATGTAGATATCTTCTATAGATATATTTTTCATGTCTGTGAGGCAATAATACATGGAGTTTCGGTTCTTCGGCTCCAGACCTAGACGGCAGAAAGAAACACCCAACTACCTAGAACACTCTAGTGGGCACTAAGAACATCCTAGCAATAACTTAGAACTTAGCAACAGCCCAACGACCCAGAATTCCCAAGTGGCCACAGAGAACACCCTAACAACCACCTAGAACATTCTCGCATAAAGCTTGCCACAGCGCACCGGCAGAAGTAATGATTTTGAATGCATCAGGGGAAAAAAACAGCAAGAAGACTCTCTTAACATTATAATAATTCATTGGTAAGTGTTTTCTGAATTTCGGGCTACAGTGATGAAGTCGACGACACTGTCATCTCCACAGTGGACATTCACATTTCATACGGATAACATAATCTGAAAATATTTGTTTTCCATTTGAATTGGTTCATTTAAATGTAGATATCTTCTATAGATATATTTTTCATGTCTGTGAGGCAATAATACATGGAGTTTCGGTTCTTCGGCTCCAGACCTAGACGGCAGAAAGCACGTTTTCTTGTTATTTTGAGTGCACACAAATAAAAGTAGACCTTTCACAGATTCGAAAGATGTATTACTCATATCTATATGAGCAAAAATGATGGAGTATTTTAAGTTCAATGCAAATTATTGCAACGGTGCTTCCAAGTTAACTGTCATGCAGTGAGCGCGCTACTGTTCAGCTTCCACATTCCGCACAAACACTTCAATAGCACATTTTTCTAGGTTAACGTTAGTGCGAGCGGCCATGTAATGTTGCTGCTACTTACATGTTTTGATGATAAGCCATGTTTAGTCGATGAAAAAAATTAACGTTTACATGTCCTGACTGATGTACTGTAATTACCACAGAGACCAGCTGTTAATGATCTGTCCGTCAAGGACTACGCCACTTTCTGTGATTTCTTTTATGCAACTAGGCAACTAATGAAATTTTGATCAACAAAGCCTCTTTTCATCGACTAATGGCTAGTTGACTATTAGGGGGCAGCCCTACCTACAAATCACTTATAACCAGAGACGGACAAAGTACTCACCTCCATTACTTGAGTGAAAGTACAGATACCGCTGGTCAGACATTACTCCATTACAAGTAAAAGTTGTAAAGACAGATTTTTACTTAAGTAAAAGTACAGAAGTACTTGCTTTTAAAAGTACGTAAGTACTAAAAGTAAATTTCCTTTTCCAAGGTATTACCTTACCAAATAAATCATGGTAATAATCAAGTTTTTTTTTTTGATGCTGCAATACCATGCCAGTACTGTGGTATTTTTAAAAGTATTTTACAAAAACGGAACACAAAAAACAAGCACAAAACTAAACAAAAAATACTTTAACCTGTTTTATAACATACACATATTAAATATGGCTGAAAATCAAACAAATGTTTACCCAAAATAAAATAAAGTTAATAATAATAATAAAAATACTTTGCTCTGTTCTATGAAATGTAATAACACATTATATGACATATCAAATTAAGGAAATAGATGTAAGATATACATATATACAATGCACAATGATTAAAAATTATATTATATAAAAATTAAGGAACCTAATGTATAATATACCAAATTAAATATATATATATTTATTATATATTATAAAATATAAATGGAAATAAATGTAAGATACAGATATGTATAATGCAAAATATAATTACATTTAATATAACACATTATATATTATATTATATATAAATGTACAGTATATATTTATAAAATACACAATTGAAAAATATAATTATTATTTTTATAATTTTAAGAACTAAATATAAGGTATATACACAAGTAAACAAATGTAAAAATATTGAAAATATTAATATATTATTATACAAAATTAAGGAAATAATGTAAGATATACATATATGAAATGCACAAAAAAATTTAAAACATTATATTAGCAATCTTTTCTTTTTTTGAAACAATTATTTTCTTTGAAAAGATTAACTCTACTGAGGGGTGAAAAAAATTGTAGGTAAGAATGAAGAACAAAAACAACTAAGATACAGACAACTAGACACAAATGAAGCAAAACACAAGGCAATTAGCTGAAATGGGGTAATGGGGATGAGATTTGTTCACTTAATTTAACGGTAATGGAAGGAATGGAGAAATAAAATGTTGCTGTGGCTGATGGAGGAAGAGATGCAGCGCTGTACCTCAGAGAGAGAGAGTAGTCCAAGCGACTGGTCTCGCTGTTTCGTACCAAATAACTGCACTCCTTACAGAGGGTCAGCAGGGACTCGGCCTCTGAGCGCGAGAGAGCGCCGTGATACCATCTGAAAGACAGCATGCACGCAAAGAGGTCAGCAAATCATAACAAGTCATTAACATATAGAGGTCTTAAAGGTACAGTAACAAAAACAGCTCATTTAATTCTAAGGGTCAAAGAGGATAGAAAATATTCCTTAGAAAACAAAATCAACGGTTTAATCATACTTCAAATGTGTTGAATATGACACCTGTAAAATGAGCATGTGTGTTCGTGGCATGTTTTCCTGTGAGACCCCAGCTGCCGTCTCATATGTCTGGGGAATTCTGTATCCTGAACAGCTGACTAATTTGCAGCAATATTTTGGATGCACTTGACTGCACTTTCTAATGGCCCAAGCCTGCACACCGCCCACATTAATCATATTCTCATAGCCATAAAACAATAACACACTAGGTTGATGTTCCCACAGGCGCGAGACGTCACACTGAGACCATCAAGTGCCTTGAAAATGTCAAAAATGCTAATTCTGTCACCAGTTACTCACCCTCATGTCGTTCCAAACCTGTATGACTTTTTATTTTCTCTGTGGAAACCAAAAGAAAAAAATGTCTTGATGTTTTGGACCCCATTGACTTTCATTGTACCATTGCGGCATTCTTTGAAATATCTTCCACAGAGGAAAGTACATACATTCAGGTTTGGAACGACATGAGGGTGAGTAACTGATGACAGAATTTCAATGTAGTGGCCACAAGATGTATTATGGGATAGCATTCTAATTGCGGCATTTTTAGCTTAGCTGTCTCTGTTCCTCTCTTAATTCTTTCTTCAAACCTCTAATGGTTTGTGGTGAGTGCTGGACGTACACTTGTTTCTCCAGGGGCAGGGTGGGATCCACTCTCTCGCCGATCATTGAATGAGGTTCGCTGGGCTTGCGTAGCTTCATGCTGCCTGTGGTTGGCAGAGGCCTGGGACACCTCAGGCGCTCTGTAGGAGAACAGGAACGGTCCCACTCAGCACCCTCAAACTGCACTGCATGGGCACAGTGAGAGAAAATGACTTAATTCAATGTCAAAGAGCAGTAGAAAAGTGATTGAAAAAGTTTGTCAGTTTTATAACATTGCATAGTAACCAGGAATGACATGACAAAACAATAAAACTCGTTCATGATAATCACAGATTTAGGGTTCCCATGATGAATGGTTATGTGGCATAATGTGAATGCAGTTGACAAATTGGTTTCTGTCTTAGAGAATCTTGTTTCTCAAAGTCCAAGAGGGTCCTTTAGGTGCCGTTTTGCAAATTCCAAGTGTGTTTTCATGTGTCTCCACTGAGGAGAGGATTGACTTTGGCCACACCGCCATAAAAACTGGACTGGTGGAGTGTTGCAGTGATGTTTGTCCTTCTGTAGGTTTCTCCCATCTGCATATATGATCATGGAGCTCAACTAGAGTGACCATCAGCTTCTTGGTCACCAGTCTAGACAAGGCCCTTCTCCATCAATTGCTCAGTTTGGCTCAGCGACCAGCTCTTGGAAGAGTCCTGGTTGTGCCAAACTTCTTCCATTTGAGAATTACGCAAGCCACTGTGCTCTTTGGAACCTTCAGTGCAGCAGGAATTTTTTTGTTGCCTTCCCCAGATCTGTGCCTCGACACAATCCTGTCTCTGAGCTCTGCAGGCAGTTCTTTTGAACTCATGGCTTGGTTTTCGCTCTGATATGCATTGTCAGCTGTGAGGCCTTTTATAGAGAGGTGTGTGCCTTTCCAAATCATGTCCAATCAATTTATTTTACCACAGGTGGACTCCAATCAAGGTGTAGAAACATCTCAGCAATGATCAAGAGAAATGGGAGGCACCTGAGCAAAATTTCAAGTTTTGTTGCAAAGGGTCTGAATACTTGTGTAAATGTGATATTTCAGTTTTTTTCTTTTTAATACAATTACAGACATTTCTAAAATTCAGTTTTCACTTTGTCATTATGAGGTACAGAGTGTAGATTAATAAGAAAAAAATGTATTTAAACAATTGTAATATCAGGCTGCAACATAACAAAACTGAAAATTGTGTATATGAGTCACATCATGCCTGGTTAGGACAGTTAACAATACTTGTATTGCAGAACAGGAGGAGTCCAAACCAAAACAGCAAGGAGTAACAATAGAGGGTTGTAGGAAATTAAGGTGGCACGTTTATAACGCAAACATACCAGGTTTCAGAGCCAAAAAAACATCATGTGAAAAGAGACCTGTGGATCCAGAGGCGGGGTGGAATCAAACTCAAGTATCAATCAAGCAGGGATGCACAAGTTTTTGGCACCTTATCAGTTATTGACCAATATTTTTACATTTTGGCATTTAATTCTACATGCTTCTTTCTCACATTGTAACATTTAGATTATCATTGCCACCCCTAATTCAACTTGCCGTTTAAATCTGCCAATATTCAAGTCTTGAAGTTTAAATCTGCCAATATTTTTTAATTTATCAGTAAATTTATCATTAGGATGGATATTTAATTTTGCATGCTCACTTGTTTTTACATTTAGTAGGGATGCACGATATTATCACGCGATTAGATCACATCAGCAGTGTGGTCATTCTTGAAGCAAACTTTTGCCTGAACGGTGATTAGATTCTCTGTTTTGGATCGTTGAATGCAAGTACAAAACGATGTGTCCGTTGTATGATTGTGTCAACAGTACAGCAGCAGAAACAGCCTCCCCTGGGTCCTAATGCCCATTAAATAAGGCCTTTTATTTATTTAAAATTATTGATTTTAGTTTTTAGTCTTTTAGAATGACAAAATCCACCATTTATTGATGATCGAAATGGAAAATGGAATGGACACAAAATGGAAATAATTATCACCTTATCTGGAATTAGCTTTTATTTTTATATTTTCCATTTTTATTTCAATTTTAGCATAAGTTTAAGTAATTTTTATTGCTTTTGTCATTTTTATTAACTTTTGTATTTTTTAAATATTTCAATTTTGCCTGATTTTATTTTAATTAATATTGTTACAACTTTAAATCAACTTGTTCTCATTTTTGTTTAAGTTTAAAATTTTCATCTTTCATCAAATAACGTTTATATCAGTTTACTTCAGCTTTATGTCAATTAACGAAAATGATTTTGAATAGTTTTAGCTAAGGATAACAACACTGATATTGGCTAGAATTGTAATATGGTGTCATCCCAAGTGACAACAGAACTGGAAGACAGAACTGACCCCATGCAGTCATCACATGCTACTGTGATGAGAGCAGCATGAGTGGGAGCGATTTAAATCAAATGGGAAGCAAACGGGAGGTTTCCAGCAAAACAGTGACTCAGCAAGCTCGACAGATACAGGACACTGGAGGGGCAGCAGTGGGGAGGAGGGGTCAAAGTTCACCTTGCTCGCCAAAGATGGGCTCCTCCTCCAGCTGTCCGACCGGAGGAGGCCACGGCAGCTCGGTCAGATCTTTCACATCTATGTCGGCGAAGAGCGAGCGTGTGATGCAGAGAGTGAAAGACAGAGAGAGAATGGTGAGAAACAGATAACTGAGAAAAGAGAGACAATCCACCGATGTCAGTCTTCACGCATTGCTTATCAGGCCGGAAATGCAATGTGAGAGCTGACTCAACATCTAATTACCATCTCAATCCCATAAATCTCATTACCAACACCTATATACACACTCAAACAGGAGCCACTGCGATGTATTCATGCTAGAGATGCACAGTTTTCTGCTTTTGAATTCCAATACTTTCAGAATATGTAAAGAATTCCATGAAGAACTTAATTGATGTATGTTCCACTAAACAACAAAAGTGCAAACCTTATCTTATTCTCAGATAATTTTAGGAATTGTTTTTATTTAACTACCAATTCAGCTAGTTAGAATGGGTAAACTTTAAAAAGTAAAATTATCGGCCCAAAAATTCCACATTTGTGCATCCCAATCATCTCAATTCCAACTCACACACTTAAATGGGGCACCTTGTAACGCATACAAGCGCATCACACTCTCAAACAGGATTACAAGATGAAGAATAGGCCATAGGGGAGATGTGTGACATCTTTATAAACAGACCACCATCCGACGCCTCCACCTCCTTCATCGCGCCCTCTCGAAAAGAAGACGACGGGGTGATGTTTGGAAAAAAGAAACAGGCGGGCCCATACATCCCCCCGCTGACTGGTGAATTATTGAAGAGAATGTCACAGACTCTTTCGCCCCGCTCCCTGTGCATTATTGATGCCTGGCGCGGTACAATGGTCCCATCTCGAGAACTAGAATCAGAGAGTGGACCCACTAATCCTCCTTCAAACCCGGCTAACCCTATAAATAATCTGCCTAATTCCACCAATAATGCAGATGATTTCACAAATAATCCAGTGTAATTCTTAATGAACCAACTGAAGTGACCAACCATGCAGATGAGCTATACTACACTATACTACTACATCTGGACTCTCTCTCTCTCTATATATATATTACAGTGTTGGGGAAAGTTACTTTTAAAAGTAATGCATTACAATATTGCGTTACTCCATAAAAAAGTAACTAATTACGTTACTTAGTTACTTTTTATGGAAAGTAATGCGTTACGTTACTTTTGCATTACTTTTTAAATCTGGACAGGGCTTGCTTGTTTGTTTTTAAAATAAAAAAGTTTTATTTTTGGCAAATATAAAAGCCTTTTCACACCAAATGTGAAATGAATAAGCCTCAGGCTGAAGGGAAAGTAAATTTACGTCCGTACAGTAGAATGCAGAAGAAGAAATTTCAACACACTTCAGCGATAAAAAAAGATTTTTGATGAAACAAATGTTTGTCTAGAGTAATTTTTGCTTATTAGTACGATTGAACTGGATCATCGAAGGTCAGAAGCAAAGACATTGGTTAATAGAATGGGATTAAATACATAAAGGATATTTGTGTTTTTTAACATTTAATTATTGTTGCATTATTTTTATTCATTTTGAGGAATACTGAATTAGTTTTTTTTTTGTTTTTTGTGAGTGAGATGAATTAATGCATATACATATTTATTTTAGAGTAACATCTTCTGATTTCTGTCACCATGGCAACACCAGAGCTGTCAATCAATTTGAAAAAGTAACTCAGATATTCTCTTGTAAATTAAAAAGTAATGCATTACTTTACTAGTTACTTGAAAAAAGTAATCTGATTACGTAACTCGCGTTACTTGTAATGCGTTACCCCCAACACTGTATTTCAGTGTGTATTAAAAAGAAAAAAACAACATGACTTGGGCCCAACTTTGACAATCAGCCAGTGATCAGATACTTTAGTGTGCAAGTTGCACTTAAATACATGTAAATGTGCACCAACAATTTGCAGACAAACAAAACTAATCACATTTTTTCCCTTTGTCCTCTCATTCTATGCTATATTAAACCCCAAGGGGTGTTTGAATTTAAAGCAAGCATGAAATCCAAACTCTTCAAGCAGATTAAATTCAGAATCAAGTAATCCATGTAAATGCTGTGACAACAGGGGGCCCTGTGCAATTAGTATGCTGGCTAGTGCTAATGCAATTAGGCAAACCAGACAGCTAGAGCTGGGAGCCGTGGACATCGAGGAAGGGCCCGTATTTCCATTTTATTCCAGAGGACACAAGTGTGCGTATCAGAATAAGAGAAATAAATGTTTCTGTTTTCTAATTTAACAGTCTTAACTTTATACACTGAAAATAAACCAAGAAAAATAAATGTACTGTTGCTATAGGGACTTCTGTCAGTAAACAAGCCTAGAGCAGAGAGGCTGTTGGAAAAAAATAACCATTTAGAGGAATCTCTTAGGTGGATCCATCAAAGTGGCAAGATGAGGAACACAATGGACCACCTAGAGGAATAAAACGCTCTCATTTGAGGGTACATAAACAAGCATGACAGGCAAATTCTCTCTGAATGTCCCAATGGAAATACAAGCAAACACTTTAGACAACTCGTGCATCTTCGGAAGCGGAGCTGCACGGAAACTTAAAAAAAATGTTGTGCACGCCACCATGCGAAACGAC